CATTACCAGAAATATGGGACAAGATGGCGACGGACATGCACACTTTGACCAAATATGGCGACCAAATATTACTATAAACTATATGGGAGTTGATCAAAATATCAAATTTTAATATACTTTGTTTAAATATTTCATGGTTGCGGAGCTCGATTATAGTAGCGACACGAACAAGCAATATTTCTAAACAAAAATCGCTACTATTGCACCGCGTCTAGCAGGTTCCTGAGAATGTTGTATTTTTACACGCAATTCGATGAATTTCATAGTGTAATTTATAGTAAACTTGTGACACAAGAGGTAAATATCCGACGAATAGACCAACATCCATTCGGACGATGCAAAGTGCGGAGCTCGCGATATATTTAATGATGTCCAAACTGTTAATTTAGCTAAATAAATCGCTGTAATTTCCAGGGAAACTAGTTCCCGAAACGTTTAAAAGTTCGCCTTTTTACGGTTCTTGTATGTCGCCATTAGGCCATCTTAATATCCAAAAACGACAAGTTTTAATACAAATTTGAGCTGTTTCGAGCAGCCATGTTTCTTGTTTATTTGGAAAGACTAGATCCAGGCTCTCTCACGTAAAAACACGGATATTTTAGGATTTTTTAGGATATTTGCAATATTTTTAGTCTTGATAAAAATTTGCGGGGTTAAAGGTCGAAATACCGGAAGTGATCAGCAAAAACTGCAAAATATGGTTTAAAATCACAGTTTTTGGTTGAATAATACTTGAACTGCAGATTCAAAGTAAAATGCGAAGTCGAATTACTTATATTAGGCAATGTTGGGCATATAAAACGGACTTAGCCGCTGACTACAAAAGCGGGAGCAAAATGTCCCATATTTCTGGTAATGCCCCAATAAGGGTGCACTATAGACTCCTCTTTTTGTCGTAAACGTCTTTAAAATGAATGAAAAAATGTTAAAAGTATTGCAATATGTATAGAACACATCAATGTAGTGTAAATACAAGCTTCTATAGCACCTATATACCGACTATAGATGATGATATATGCCGTTATAGTACAATAGCACGGAGACAGGTTTATATAAATCATAATATTCATAAGCTTAGCAGAAACAGATCTTTTTTGAAGAGCGAAACATATTTCGCCTTTCCCGATTGACACTGACTAGGGGATTGGTCTCCCTCACGCTTCCTATATATACGCTCCTGATGAAACTACATTCAAACCCATGATCGAATTGAGGAAACTAGAAAACACATACTTTGAATGGACCCATCTGATGTGGAGGGCCACTCCTTGGCTGCTTCTAAATGTCTTTAAAATGAATGAAAAAAATGTCAAAAGTATTGCAATATTGTATAGAACACATCAATGTAGTGTAAATACACGCTTCTATAGCACCTATATACCGACTATAGATGATATATGCCGTTATAGTACAATAGCACGGAGACAGGTTTATATAAATCATAATATTCATAAGCTTAGCAGAAACAGATCTTTTTTGAAGAGCGAAACATATTTCGCCTTTCCCGATTGACATTGACTAGGGGATTGGTCTCCCTCACGCTTCCTATATATACGCTCCTGATGAAACTACATTCAAACCCATGATCGAATTGAGGAAACTAGAAAACACATACTTTGGATGGTGAGCCCATTATTAGGTATTAGAAAAAATTATATAGGTGATTATTGACAACTCCACGCTGATTGGTTGCCGTTGAGGTAATTCTAATGCGATAATCACCTAAGTGGCGGCCGAAGCCGTTTTGTCAATAAAATGACGAAGAAATGTGTATTTTTTATTTTTTTTTCAAATAATCACCTATAAAATTATACTAAAACAATTATTCACCTCAGGCTCGGTGATTATCGTGAATAAATCACCTCGCTGCAACTCGCTTTCGGTGCCGAAAATAATTGTCAATTATAAAGTACCTTTCAATTTCATGGGTTTTTTTATGCATGATATGCCACCTTGTTTTCTGAATTGTCTGAAATAAAGAGAAACATGAACAATCTTAGCAATGGAGCCTTAATTTCAATTCAAAAATTATCTAATGATTGTCTATGGTTCCAACACAGAGAACCCAAGCGTTGATTTGTGTCTGTAAGTAAGTAAGTAAAAGCTTTATTTAAAGAGGGTAGCACTAAATAGCCGAGGCTAATAAACTTGTGGCCCTCATTCATAACTAGTATTAATTACATGCTGATGTTTAAAATATATACAATATTATAAGCTATTTACAAGGTTAAAAACTATGACTATAAATTAGATCGATGTATAGTTAATAATATTTGCTAATAGATCTAGATACTAAAATGATGTAAAAGTTGTTGGTCTTTGAGAATGTTACTCCACAAATTGTTCTTGAAGCAGTTTAACGAATCCGCCTTTCTGATATTTAAAGGGATACTGTTCCACAGTTTAGTTGCAGTAACTAGAAATGTGCGTCTACCCTCAGTTTCCCTCTTATATTTAGGGCAAATGGCATTAAAATTAGCATAACGTGTGTTACGCGAGTTACGTACATTGTTCAAAATAATGTAGTCGCCAAGATAGCTAGGTAAGTTATTATGTATGCGTTTATAAAAAATGCACATTTATCAATTTTACATTGCTCGTAAAAAGGAATCCATGCTAATTCATTAAATAGAGCTACTGAAGGTGCCTGGCGATCTGCAAACATGACAGTTCTAGCAGCCCGTTTCTGAAGTTTTAAAATTCTGTTCAAGTAAGATCTTATTGCAAGTACCCCAGATGGTGCTGGCATAACTCATAACTGGCCGGATGATTGCATTGTAATATTGTAGGCGTTGGTTAAGTGGCAAGTAGACCCGAATTTTCCTCAATACGGCTATGCGAGAAGCTAGTTTCTTGCACACTTTTTCGATCTGATCATCAAATGATAGTAACTTATCAATATCAAGACCCCAATAAGGGTGCACTATAGACTCCTCTTTTTGTCGTAAACGTCTTTAAAATGAATGAAAAAATGTTAAAAGTATTGCAATATGTATAGAACACATCAATGTAGTGTAAATACAAGCTTCTATAGCACCTATATACCGACTATAGATGATGATATATGCCGTTATAGTACAATAGCACGGAGACAGGTTTATATAAATCATAATATTCATAAGCTTAGCAGAAACAGATCTTTTTTGAAGAGCGAAACATATTTCGCCTTTCCCGATTGACACTGACTAGGGGATTGGTCTCCCTCACGCTTCCTATATATACGCTCCTGATGAAACTACATTCAAACCCATGATCGAATTGAGGAAACTAGAAAACACATACTTTGAATGGACCCATCTGATGTGGAGGGCCACTCCTTGGCTGCTTCTAAATGTCTTTAAAATGAATGAAAAAAATGTCAAAAGTATTGCAATATTGTATAGAACACATCAATGTAGTGTAAATACACGCTTCTATAGCACCTATATACCGACTATAGATGATATATGCCGTTATAGTACAATAGCACGGAGACAGGTTTATATAAATCATAATATTCATAAGCTTAGCAGAAACAGATCTTTTTTGAAGAGCGAAACATATTTCGCCTTTCCCGATTGACATTGACTAGGGGATTGGTCTCCCTCACGCTTCCTATATATACGCTCCTGATGAAACTACATTCAAACCCATGATCGAATTGAGGAAACTAGAAAACACATACTTTGGATGGTGAGCCCGTTATTAGGTATTAGAAAAAATTATATAGGTGATTATTGACAACTCCACGCTGATTGGTTGCCGTTGAGGTAATTATAATGCGATAATCACCTAAGTGGCGGCCGAAGCCGTTTTGTCAATAAAATGACGAAGAAATGTGTATTTTTTATTTTTTTTTCAAATAATCACCTATAAAATTATACTAAAACAATTATTCACCTCAGGCTCGGTGATTATCGTGAATAAATCACCTCGCTGCAACTCGCTTTCGGTGCCGAAAATAATTGTCAATTATAAAGTACCTTTCAATTTCATGGGTTTTTTTATGCATGATATGCCACCTTGTTTTCTGAATTGTCTGAAATAAAGAGAAACATGAACAATCTTAGCAATGGAGCCTTAATTTCAATTCAAAAATTATCTAATGATTGTCTATGGTTCCAACACAGAGAACCCAAGCGTTGATTTGTGTCTGTAAGTAAGTAAGTAAAAGCTTTATTTAAAGAGGGTAGCACTAAATAGCCGAGGCTAATAAACTTGTGGCCCTCATTCATAACTAGTATTAATTACATGCTGATGTTTAAAATATATACAATATTATAAGCTATTTACAAGGTTAAAAACTATGACTATAAATTAGATCGATGTATAGTTAATAATATTTGCTAATAGATCTAGATACTAAAATGATGTAAAAGTTGTTGGTCTTTGAGAATGTTACTCCACAAATTGTTCTTGAAGCAGTTTAACGAATCCACCTTTCTGATATTTAAAGGGATACTGTTCCACAGTTTAGTTGCAGTAACTAGAAATGTGCGTCCACCCTCAGTTTCCCTCTTATATTTAGGGCAAATGGCATTAAAATTAGCATAACGTGTGTTACGCGAGTTACGTACATTGTTCAAAATAATGTAGTCGCCAAGATAGCTAGGTAAGTTATTATGTATGCGTTTATAAAAAATGCACATTTATCAATTTTACATTGCTCGTAAAAAGGAATCCATGCTAATTCATTAAATAGAGCTACTGAAGGTGCCTGTCGATCTGCAAACATGACAGTTCTAGCAGCCCGTTTCTGAAGTTTTAAAATTCTGTTCAGTAAGATCTTATTGCAAGTACCCCAGATGGTGCTGGCATAACTCATAACTGGCCGGATGATTGCATTGTAATATTGTAGGCGTTGGTTAAGTGGCAAGTAGACCCGAATTTTCCTCAATACGGCTATGCGAGAAGCTAGTTTCTTGCACACTTTTTCGATCTGATCATCAAATGATAGTAACTTATCAATATCAAGACCATTACCAGAAATATGGGACAAGATGGCGACGGACATGCGCACTTTGACCAAATATGGCGACCAAATATTACTATAAACTATATGGGAGTTGATCAAAATATCAAATTTTAATATACTTTGTTTAAATATTTCATGGTTGCGGAGCTCGATTATAGTAGCGACACGAACAAGCAATATTTCTAAACAAAAATCGCTAGTATTGCACCGCGCCTAGCAGGTTCCTGAGAATGTTGTATTTTTACACGCAATTCGATGAATTCATAGTGTAATTTATAGTAAACTTGTGACACAAGAGGTAAATATCCGACGAATAGACCAACATCCATTCGGACGATGCAAAGTGCGGAGCTCGCGATATATTTAATGATGTCCAAACTGTTAATTTAACTAAATAAATCCGCTGTAATTTCCAGGGAAACTGGTTCCCGAAACGTTTAAAAGTTCGCCTTTTTACGGTTCTTGTATGTCGCCATTAAGCCATCTTAATATCCAAAAACGACAAGTTTTAATACAAATTTGAGCTGTTTCGAGCAGCCATGTTTCTTGTTTATTTGGAAGGACTAGATCCCAGGCTCTCACGTAAAAATACAGGGATATTTTAGGATTTTTTAGGATATTTGCAATATTTTTAGTCTTGATAAAAATTTGCGGGGTTAAAGGTCGAAATACCGGAAGTGATCAGCAAAAACTGCAAAATATGGTTTAAAATCACAGTTTTTGGTTGAATAATACTTGAACTGCAGATTCAAAGTAAAATGCGCAGTCGAATTACTTATATTAGGCAATGTTGGGCATATAAAACGGACTTAGCCGCTGACTACAAAAGCGGGAGCAAAATGTCCCATATTTCTGGTAATGTGCCCAAAGTGCGAAAAAGTGCTCAACGTTGGTGCTCCAAACAAAAAAAAGTGCTCAAAAAGTGCTCAGCGCAATCGGGAAAGGCCTATAAACCGATGCAATTCAGTTTCTAACTGCAAAATTGGTAACAAAACATATTCCTATTTTCAATATGTATAACTTAACAGTCAACAACATTGAAATGCTGTAAATGTCATACCAAATAGTAATTCATTGTTATACACTGAGAATCTAATTTTGTGTCCATGCAGGAAGTGTCGAAGACTATTTGGATTGATTCCCTCTAAACCTACACCTGCTGCTGCTGATTATTACGAAGACTGTTGTCAAGGATGGACAGATAAAGGCCCTCTGGGATGCCTAAAAAGTACGTGTTCCTAATCTTGTGTTTGTGCCCGTGCTAGCATATTCAGGAGGGCAGTCGCTGTTTGCAAATTTTGTATTAATTTGTATTACGCACGGGAAAATGCACCACTTTCGGCCCAAATATATATGGTGCATTTTCCCTTGCGTAATACAAATTAATACAAAATTTGCAAATTTTGCAGGGCTATGTTTTCCGTATTTTACAACATTTCGCGGCCAAACTTTGCAATTTTACTAATTTTAACATGCTTTTTCTAGCTGTTGTGACGGATTTTATTCTTCTTGCCTGGATCAAAATTTAGTGTATAGCTGGGATGATCCATTCCCAATAAGATCTGCGGCAATGATAGTTTGATGCTTCGCCTTCGGTTTTTATGAGTTAGGGTCAGCGGTTAGGGCCAGATTTCTGGTCAAGATCGGGAATCACGTTTAGCATTATAAACATAAATATTGAGTGATGAATCTATCACCGTTCCCAGTGTGATGTTGACTGCGCAAATTCGGAGTGCATGCACGAGGATTGTTAATTGCGTAAGTTCCCGTGAGCATGACCATAATTCTCCTATGAGAAACTTTTGTTTGTACGCAAGCGAGTCCTGCAAAATTACAAGCCATGTGGGCAGGCGTTTACTTTTCCATGCAGCCCAACCCAAATAAACACCTGCTTGCAGGCTAGGCTAGTGTTGTATCCTGTACTTAATTCATTCCAGGCTTAACCTTTCACACACACACCCATATCATATATCCTAATTGCCTGTCAATGCTTGTATATATATTTACTTAATTCTATCAATAAATTAGTCTTTGATTACAACTAGTGCGAGTAGCATATATGCTAGAGGTCTCTATAACCCAAACAAGCAAGATACAAAAGCTAGCCGGGTCGATATGGTCGCAATTGAGAAGTTGCTCGCTTGGCTGGGCTCGCCTGCATGGTAAAGCGAGCTAATTTGGTCCATGTAACCGATCCCGTATAGTTGTAACTATACGAAATTGGCATTTCTCCCGAGACATTTTGATTGCATGCCAAAACTTTAGTGTAGTTGGAAAAGGACGGGATCAAGGCATGTGCCACGTTCTGTATTGAATAAAGTGCGTGATCGTATGTTAGGAAAGTTCTCAGACGACCCGACGCTGCATAAAGAGTTAACAGAAAAGATTTATATATTATATTAAGTAGGCTCCCTGCAGTTTCCAATACCTGTCAGTGTTTTAAACTAAAAGATATTTGAATCTAAAAAAACTATTTTTTTGCACGTACAAGTCATTGTTTCCTCTTATATAAAAGAGTAATTTTAACTCAATCGCTACTTCTCACGTTACCATGACAACATGGCGTCACCATCTATATGGCCTATATCAACCAAAAAAGCGTCTTAGCGGACAAATAACCACGGTTACCTACTATTTTTTATTGCAGAAAATACATTGTTATGAAGTTTTGAATCATTTTTGAAAATTATTTGAAAATTGCCAGTGTAGTTTTCGAGAAACTGAATTTCGATCAGCCTTTAAGATTGCATTTTAGCCTTTGGAAAGGCTGAAATTCAGTTTCTCGAAAACTACACTGGCGATTTTCAAATAACTTTCAAAGAAGATTAAAAAATTCATAACAATGTATTTTCTGCAATAAAAAAGGTAGGTCACTGTGGTTATTTGTCCGCTAAGACGGCTTTTTTGGTTAATATAGGCCATATAGATGGTGACGTCATGTTGTCATGGTGACATGAAGAGTAGCGATTGTTGGTTAAAATTACTTTTTTATATAAGAGGAAACAATGGCTTGTGCAAAAAATTAGTTTCTTTTAGATTCAAAAAGCTTTTAGTTTAGAACAGTGATATATTGGAAACTGTAAGGAGTCTCTTTAATATACTAAACACTATGCCTTTTTATTTTTATCCTTCAAGAAACATGCATTGCGTTGCCACAGAAAGTACCGCAACAGATAGGGGAACGCCGGATGTGTCCGGCTGAACGTCTTCTGAACCTGGCTGAACAAAATATTTTTTACAAGCTAACCACTCCCCTTAGTGAACCGTTAATATATCTTAACGAGACAACGAACCTCTTCGAAGCTGTACCTTTTCCATTGTTGAATCAACCATCTAGCAAAGTGGTGCTACGCAGCGTTCTTTCCCCTACCCTTGATGAGCAAGGATGGGTGACTCGATACCTTGGTATGGCCCAACGAAACAAGAAACTCGTGGAAAAAACAATGGAACCTGAAAATCTTCAACCATTTACAAAGTATTCAGACCACGACCAGTTGTTAAAAAGTTACCGCAAGGAGCAATCGAAACCTATAATTTCCATTAAAATTCCTGGATCGGTAAGCAGTTTTTAGTAATGTATCTCACGATTGCGCCTCTGTCACCATTCCAAATATGCACACCATATGAACTTTGAAATAATTTCATTTCGATATATACATATCCTATTTCATATCTACACAGCTTAATGAAGCGATCATCGAGGTCTTTTTTAACTACATACTAACTGAGGGAGGGCAATCCCCTCTCCAAGAATCGGATTTGCACCCATCTCCCCCAGTCACAAGTATAACTGAATGTATTAAATGACCACAAAATATAATTTTATAACCTGGCTACTCTACGAGTGTTCTCTACTTATTGCCCCTAACAGCTTGCAATTATTTTCTGCTTTGTGGCCAATTCACAGTTTATTTTAGTGGTCTACACAGTAAAAACAAATTGGTTAAAATGACCAAAAAAAATTGGTCGTTTGAATGCGTCTGAGACAACCAGTTTAAATTGGTCGTTTTAACCAAAAAAGTAATTGGTCAAATTGACCAATTATTTAATTGGTCAAATTGACCAATTATTTATTGTTCATTTTAGTGGCCAATCCAAAGTTTCTTTTAATGCGATTTCCGCAGACTTCAGGGCTTTCATGCACTTTTTGAGATTTTTCTTAGTAAATAATTTTCGTAGTAATTTTAGACAGTATATAGAAAAGATTCCTGAATTAATCTTATAGTTATGAATCGTTTGGACGGATTTGTTTACTTGTTAAATAATTTTATCCTTATCCACAGATTATTTTGCAGCTTGTTGTTATGTATAACATGCAGATCGACGGGGAAAAGTGACAACAAAATGTAGATTTAGTAAAAATCCTCAAAATAGGAATGAAAAATTGACGTATTCCTCAGTGAGCCCCATACAGATCTGGAGTCACAGAACTCGAGTCCACATGAAACGTGAAGCCAAATATGGAGTTATTGTCCTTGTCCTTTTCTGCGCGGTCTGCTAAGAGTGTGCCAGAATATCGTATTATGACTACGATTTAAAGAATAATACACAAACTGGAATTAGCCGGTAGACATGGTACTATATATAATGGTTTACAAATAGGTATTAGACGTCAATTCCGCCCTGTTTCAAATTTAATTTTCAAACCTTTATCAAAGTTGGTTCCTCAAACATTTTCACATACAGATTTTTGAACGTTTTTCAAAATCAAATCTTCCACATTTTCAAACCTTTTTCAAACATTTTTTAAAAATAAATATGAACATTCATGTGGTTTATTCGTTCGTTAATTCGTTGGTTTGCGATAGTTGATAGGTAAAATTATTCGCTGCATTTTTCTTTCTTCGAATTTATTCAACAATTTATTTCACAGGAACAATCCTTTAACCTTCTATCCATGGAACAATACATGAAGTACCCTTCACAAGAATTGCCGTTTAGAAATATCATTGAGAACGAAGCTTGGCAAAGTGACGATGTGTTTACGCAGCAACGCCTGGCAGGTTTAAATCCAATGTCTTTGAGAAAAATGACGATAGAAGGTGAGAAAATAAAGGCATATATGAAATAACTGGAATGGCATAAAATTGCATGGAAAGAATTCTTGCAATATTATGAATAGAGAATAATTAAAATGAAAAATTATTTTTATCAATAAATATTTTCAAACGAATTTCAGACAAATGTAAGTGATAAATGTGTATTACTATATAAACGGCGTGCATGCGTCGAAGCCATCGTACAAAGGTTCAATTGCTATAAGAGAAAACTTTAAATTACTTATGATGAATATCATTCACATACGTGGTCATGATCAGTGGTGCCTAAATTACTTTGACATGTACTCGAGTAAAAGTAGAAGTAATTAACAATAAAGTGACTTGAGTAAGAGTAAAAAGTACTGGAGGCAAAACGTACTTAAGTAAAAAGTACTTGAAGTACAAGTAAAAGTGAAAGTACCATTGTCTGTAGGGGGTGGGGGATGGCTTCTCCAATTGATTTACATCCAAAAGACACAAAACAGCACACGCATATTCATAATATTTCACGGCATTGTATACTTTCCAGATCCCGTTGAAGATCTAAGAAATCCATTAAATAAATAATGCTTATAAGTAAGCCACAAACGAGAGATCCCAGACGCATGTAGAGGTCCTATTACCTATCCAAAAATTAAAATAAATCAGGAATAAATCACGTAAAATCAAACAAAAGTTAGAAAGTAACGAAGTACTTCGCCACAAAATGAAAATAGCGAAGTATAACGTTATAACGACTTCGTTCCAAGTAAAAATACTCCAGAAAAGGTTTACTTTGTTACATGCTGACTTCTCAAAAATAATACTCAAGTACAGTAACGAAGTACATTTACTTCGTTACTTGACACCATGCACTGGTCATGATTTATACATTTCTGTTATAGTACCAATTACTGAACTTAAAAAAGGAACTTCTGCATGATGGATTCGACACGTCGTTCGTTAACATTAACAATAACGCTTGATGCTTGTCTCAAAATCGAAAAAATAACAATTGTTAAAAAGCTATATGTATACTGTATACTAAAGGATGATTTGGGAAACTTGTTGATATTTCAGATTTTAATCAAGATTTCGTGAACAGAACCTACGATTGGGACGCGGCAATGGAACAAGCATTGGGGAAAAAGTCTACATTTTCTGAGGTAAAAGAGGAAAAATAAAGACACATGCACTAACTACAGTGATATACCATTAACGATCCATATTCCAATCATGCAAATAGCATCAGTGTCAACCGCTTTTAAGATCTATTTGATCTTCTATTAAAAATTTATAGCAAATTCAGTTGCAGTATAACAAATAATGAGCAGTTTGGCAATTAGTAAAACTCTCATTAAAAGATAATGCACGAAGCAATTGGTTTCACCATTCCTTTATCAATTACATTGAACGGTATTTACCGGGATACACCAATCACAATCACAAATTCATATATCCTTTCTTGGGAAACGTGTAGACCGCTCTGCATCGGCAATTCTATGTAATGCTATGATCCATCTCTGACTTGAACAACTGCCAATTTTATAAACATTATACTATTGGTTAATTTGGCGAAAATGCAATAGCTACATGACGATGAATAAGCACCAAGCCATAATTATTATTTGGCATAAACGTTGACCAACACATTGATCATGAATTGTATTGTACAGTTGAGTCGCCAACGAACTACTATATGGGGAAGTAATCTTAATGCTCCATTTCAAGTAACGATGAATCGTTTTTTCTTTTATGTGTTCAGATGATCGATTCAGGGAAAGTATTCATACTCGACTACCAATTGCTTTATGGTATTGATACCTTTGAGGACTACACAGAACGGAACACTACAGACAGGCGAGAAATGAGGGGATCACGAAGTCCGTTCTGTACGTTTGTTGTAGCCAACGTGGGAGGTGTTAAGAAATTGAAACCAGTCGCGATTCAGACGAACTTATTTTCAGGTAAATTTTCGTTTATTCATTCCCAATGCAAACACTGTAACAGTATTTAAAACATCCTGGTTAATATAAAATTAATACAGTTTGGGGTAACTTAATGACCTGGTTAAATTCCATGGTAAATTTAACAACAGTCCTGGTCAATTTGATCACTATCGTGGCTAATGTAAATTAACCATTCCTGGTTAATTTCACCAGGCTATATGCAGGAATTCTTGGTTAATAGTCCACCTAACATAATCTGGTTAATTTACCCATATAGACTGGTTAAAGTAACCAGGAATCCCGGACTATGAACATATTAACCAAGACTGTGGTCAAATTTACCACTAGGAAATTTAATCAGGAATATTTAGTTACCCCCAAACAATGTTCATTCAAGATTAACCACGAAATTTTTACAACGGTACTTTTAGACTGTGCAAACCTTAAAAACAAAATGTTAACTGACTTCATTGACATTGATAATGATTTCTATGATAATATTGGATACCTGGTGAAGTATGTTAAAATTACTGTGCTGAGTGGTTATATTACTACCTTAAAAAATAAGCAGAAACTCGACGTTTCGAGCGAAGGCCCGTCGTCAAGGGTTAGTAGCAGGGTCGGGGAAAATGCACGGGCTTTTATACTAAGAGTATGAAAGCATCACGTGACAAAAAATAAACCAATTAGATGGATTTAATCATAACAAAGTGTAAACAAAATATGTAAATCGCATTACAGAATATAATATAATTAAAAATATAAAAATAAACAGGAAGTTAAGACAATTACTACAAAAAATAATCAAAACAAAGCACGAGTGGGAATAAGGTAAAAGTAATAAATAGAAGTTGTCAATGTCTGCTATAGACAGGCAAAGACAGATGGCATCATAGACAAAACAGAAGACATGTCTTCTGGATTGTCTATGATGGCATTAAACATAAGAAAAGCGTTCATTAATGCCAGAAGGGTGAATAGTGCCAAGTTTGGATATGAGGCGCATTTCATGTCGTTTGCGGCTATCGTTGCTTCCAGAAATGGGACAGAGGGCTCGAATTAACATATCTGAAACACTGTGATTGCCATCATTATAATGTCTGGCAACAGGTTGGTTAGCATCATTGCCAATAACTGCACGCCGATGCTCACCAAACCTTGTCCTTAAACATCTTCCAGTTTCCCCAATGTAAAGCATGCCACATCTGCTGCAAGAGATGCAGTAGATGAGATGGGAGGAGGCGCACGTGAAATGGTGCTTGATGTGAAAATCAGATTTAGGTGCCGAAACAATAGTGGTGGAATCTATAAAATCACAGGTTTACATTTCGACGACAGGCAAGGAAAAGTGCCTTTCTGTGACGTCGAAGCTTGTGTTAGGGAGCTATGGACAAGGGTTTCACGGATATTTTTGCTGTGTCGAAAAGAGACTAAGGGTTTATCGGAGAAAATGGAAGATGTTTCAGGGTCGTTTTTCAAAATATGGAAATTCTTGTTGATCAGTGGCGTGCTGGCAGGGGGGGCCGGGGGGCCACGGCCCCCTTAGCCGGCAATTCTTGGGGGGCGCAAAAATGAAAAAGGGGCGCCGAATTTTGAAAGTGGGTGGGAAAAAACGCATTCTCGAAAAAATATGGTTACTTCCGCCAAGAAAAGACGTGCTTATAGGCTACAGTATAAAACAGACTAAGCGCATTGGCGACATATATTAAATTACAGACTATTTTGCCTAACCGTATTTGCTACCTCACAGCTCACACGAAATCGTTCATATAGAAACATGATCAGTGATCACAGGCAATGTCTCATTACCGGAATATTGGTCAGGTTTCGATCGAAGCGATCGCGGGAATTATGCCCTTTTTGCTGGTATTATGCCCTTATATTATGCCCTTTATTATGCTTCACGAATCACGAGAGCGGCGCAAATTAGATAGTTGAAGTTATGAAAACTGATATAAAGTTGTGTACGCAATTTATATTTGTTTGCACAAGAAGCATGAGTAATGTAGGTAATGAAATAATGCTGACACATGCCCTTTTGGCAGCCAGGCAAAGAAACCTTAAAATGCGTATGCGTGGGGTGCGCGTGTTATTGTATAAAAGAGCTTTAAGTTGTAAATGTGCTCAGAACAGTAGATCAGTAGAGAGCAGAATTGGGATTAGATTAATCGCTGGAAGTAGTTAGCATTGCATAATTTAAGTACTACTACTAAATTCTAACCAAATTGCAAATTTCGACACGTTATAATGCCGTTTCCTGACTATCAGATTTCTGTCAAATCATCCCCCAAAGTCCAGGAAATGGCATTTCAGAGACTCTAGACAAACCTCTAGACAAACCCCCCTAGACAAACCTCGCACCTGCGGCACTCGGCTCGTGCCTTCGGCCCTCGTTTATCAAGTGTAACATTATAGGGGCGCATATTGGCTGACAGCCCCTGGCCCCTGCAGAAAAATAGTACCCAGCACGCCACTGTTGTTGATGACATCTCTAACTTTGAAATTGAAAGGATGAAATAATTAAACGAATAATTTAATACTAGGGGGATTTTGTTGTTGCCTGTGACATTAGACACAGGGTCTGTGAGGGTGTCAGAACGGGGAATTTGGGAGGCTTTCGAAAAGGCAGTGTCTAATAGAGAGGTAGGATAACCACGCTGGACAAAAAAGTGTCTCATCTCCAGACTTTTGGCCTGAAAATCTTCGTCTTCACTGCAGATGCGGCGAAGACGAAGGAACTGAGAAGAGGGAATCGACCTTTTGGTGTGGTTGGGGTGGGAAGAGGAAAATAGAAGATAGTTATGGGAGTCAGAGGGCTTGTAGAACACAGAAGTAGATAATTTGTTACCATTGATTGATACAAGGATATCTAAGAATGATACACTGGTCTCACTGATCTCCCATGTGAACTGGAGTGCTGGATGAAAATTATTAACAAAGTTAATAGAGCGTTCCAATTCGACACGAGAACATGATGCTGTGCCAAGATCAATGTACTGTTCGAAGATTTGTTTTCCCACAAAACCAACAAACAAATTAGCATAGTT